GAAAGGGGAAGGAGGGAGAGGAAAGGGAAGGAAGGAGAGAGAGAAGAGAGAAGGGCGGAAGGAAAGGAGAAAATAGGAAAGGGAAAGAAGAAGGAAAAGAAGAGAGAGAAAAGGGAGAAGGAGAAAAACTAGGAAGACGAAGAAGAGGCAGGGAGTAGAACGGGAGAGAAAGGAAAAGGGAAAAGAGTAAGAGAAAAGGACAAGAGAAGGAACGAAAGGAAGAGAAAGTGGAGAACGAGAAAATGAAGCTGAGGAAGAAGGGGTATAGAAGGAGAGAGGAAGGGAAGAAGAAGAGAAAGGGAGAAAGTAGAAGAGAAGAGAATAGAAGGATAAAGAAAACCGAATGGAAATAAAGAGAAGAAATACAAAAAAATGAGATATAAAAATAAAGTAAGGAAGAAATAGAGGCAGACACACAATCAGATATTGTAAACACAACTCATGAATATCTGAATTAGGATCGCCTCATAAAACTCATGTTTGGGAGGAGGGGGAGGGAAGAGGGGGGGTGTTAGGGGATAGGGTGAAGGAGAAGAAGGAGGAGAAAGAGGAGGAGGAGAGAAGGAATGGGGAAAGGTGAGAAAGAGAGAGAGGTAAAGGGGGATGAAAGAAGTGGGACAGGGGAGAGCGGAGAGAGCGAGAGAATGGAGGGGGAAGAGAAGAGGCGAAGCAGTAGGGAGGAGGGAGGGGGGAGAAGAGAAAGGATAGAAAGGAGAGAGCAACGGATGGAGATGGAGAGGGGGAGAGGGGAGAGGGGAGGGGAGGCTGAGAGGAGGGAGGGAAGGGCAAGAGAAGGAGGAGGAGAGAGAGGGAGATTACATTAGCGTCACTCAGTATCACGCTGTCATGATTCACTCGGTTCGCCTCATGAATTATGGGTTCATATATACCCATTATACTGAAGCACTGATTAGTGTGTTGAGTCCTTGTTCCCTCCCTCCTCCCTCCTCCTCCCTCGCACCTTCCCTCCTCTTCCTTCCTCCCTTCCCTCTTTCCTTCCATCTATCCGGCCCTTCCTCCTCCTCTTCATTCTTTCCTTCCCTCCCTTCCTCTCTCACTTCCTCCCTACCAATTTTCTTCCTCTCCTCTATTCCTTCCTTCCTTCCTCCCTCCTTCCCTACTTTCCTCCCTTCCTTCTTTCCTTTTCGCTCTTTTTCTCTTCTTTCTACCTTCCCTTTCTTTTTCGTTGACTCCCTCCCCTTTCCTTTTTTCTCTTTATTCTCTACTTTCGTTCTTTCTACTCCCTACTCTCCCTAGCTTCCCTCTCCTTCCCTTCTTTCCTTCTCCTTCCCTCCCTCCCTCCTTCCTTGCTTTACTCCCTCCCTCCCTCCCTCTCGCCTTCCTTGCTTTACTCCCTCCCTCCTCCCTCCCTCCTTCCTTGCTTTACTCCCTCCTCCCCTCCCACCCTCCCTTCCCTTCCACCGACTTCTCTGCTTCCATCAACTGTCGAATTTGTAAGAGATTTTTTTTTTTTCAGAGGAATATTGTAATTCCTTTTTTTACTTCCATTCCTCCCTCCTCCGCCTCCATTTCTTCCTTTCCTTCCACTCTTTCCTTCCTTCCTCTCTCCTCCCCTCTACTTTTAGCTTCTCTTTACTGCTCACGCCATTTTTCCCTCTTCCCTCCTCACCTACTTTCCCTCCCTCTTTCCCTTTTCTCCTCCTTCTCACCTCTTCGCATCCCTTCCTTAACTATCCCCTTCCCCCTGCCTCTCCTTCACACTCCCCTTCACCATCCTCCCTCCCCTCCTTCCCCTCTCCTCCCCCTTCCCCTCCATCCCACCTCCCCTCCCCCTCCCTTCCTCCCTTTCCCCTCCCCTCCTCCCCTCCTCAATTCCCATGCCCTCCTTCCTCCCTCCTTCCCTCAGCTCTTCCCTGCCTCCCCTCCCCCCCTCTTTCCCCTCAGCTCCTCCCTGCCCTGCCCTTCCCCTCCCCCCCTCCTGTCACCAACGCTACAAAAAAGGAAGAACAAAAACGATCCCAATAAGTGTTGACAACGGCCTCGGTTGACAGAGTGTGATGAGTTGCAGGTTGGAAGAGGGAGGCAGAAGGAGGGAGAGAGAGCAAGGGAAGAAAGAGAGGCAGGGGAAGGAGGAGAGAGGAGAAGAAAGCAGAAGGAGGAGAGAGAGCAAGGGAAGGAAGCAGAGGAGGAGGGATAGAGGATGTTGAAAAGGAAAGTGGATCTTGAGAGGGAGGGAAGGGAGGGTGGTTGATAAATACATTGATTGACTGAGAGAGGGAGAGAGAGAGAGAGAGAGAGAGAGAGAGAGAGAGAGGAGAGAGAGAGAGAGAGAGAGGGAGAGAGAGAGAGAGAGAGAGAGAGAGAGAGAGAGAGAGAGAGAGAGAGAGAGAGAGAGAGAGAGAGAGAGAGAGAGAGAGAGAGAGAGAGAGAGAGAGAGAGAAGAGAGAGAGAGAGAGAGAGAGAGAGAGAGAAGAGAGAGAGAGAGAGAGAGAGAGGAGAGAGAGAGAGAGAGAGAGAGAGAGAGAGAGAGAGAGAGAGA